GAAGGATCAAAAAAAAAAAAAAAGAAGAAGAAGAAGAAAGTCAGTAGAGAAGCTGCATAAGGCTCGAAGGGAAGAGTCGTCTTCTTCTTCGTCGTCGTCGTCGTTGGGTCCGGGTTTTGCTACCCCCGGGGTCCATCTTTACTTCTCCTTTTAACTGGGTTTCTTTTTATTTTTTCTTTTGCCTTTGCTCTCTTTTCCTGCGTCTTTTGCTCGCTTACCTCGGTGCGGTACACGCAGCCGTGAATTAACGAGCAAGGACGTTGTCCAAGAACCGACTATTTTCCAACATCCACCCTATATATACCTTATACACATATATATATATATATATACTGATATGAAAGGAATATAACGAACACGAGAGCCTCGATGAATCCTTTCAAGAATGAAACGCAATATATTTTACTGAAATTAATATCCTCGTTCTGCAGCATCAATCATGTTTTAATGCTGTCCTATTGGTTATCTCGCGTACCACTTTATTTTTCAGAATTACAAATTTTTTGTCATTTTGATATTTCTTTTTTCAGAGAATTAATATACCGCTGTATTTGTTTTTTAATTTTTTTGAAAGTGAGTTGTATATGAAAAAAATTATTTTACCTATATATATATATATATATTTGAGACGGGATTCGAACGCCGAACTCATTTTGAAGTTGTGCCTTACGCCCCACAGCTAATTTCTTCTTTTATTGTAATGGCTGACAAAATTTTGCCCTACTTCAGAATCATGGACCAGACTATACTTTTCCGAAGCATTTTGACGTGCTGAATTTGAATTTGACCTCAGAATTGACTCAGCACCTCAGGTTTTTGAGATATTTTAACCTACAGCATCTAAAAGTACTATTCTTACCCTTTAAAATGCATTTTGAAACTTTAGAAAATCTTTATTTGGCTCTGAGTTATCGTTATTTGAATTTTCTGAGTGGTGAATGTTTCAATATTCTGTATATGCTTGAAAAAAATCAAATGACGATAACTCAGAGCCAAATAAAGATTTTTGAAAATTTCAAAATGCAGTTTAAAGGGAAAATATAGTACTTCCAAATGCTGTAACGATCTTTTTGAAAAAAATGATCTCTTGTTGTGTTACATATGGTAAAAACAAAGGTATTTTTTTTGCACTTTTAGGTCAGTAGTAGAAGTAAACTTTGAATTGGGCCAAAATTTTGTCTGTGTTATTTTTATTATTTCTATTACTCATTTCGTATGGAAAATGAGTGTTTTAGGCCTCATAATTTTATCGCAGTACTATATATTAAAATATGGAGTAAGTGAACAAGCCGGTGAATTTGCAAAGCTCCGTAAAAACAAGATCAATTAAAAACACTGGTCCTATAAAAAGATAATGAAATAAAAAGTATATGTCCGAACGTCAATTACTATACAGCTGATACATTTTGTTCGAAACGAGTTCAGCCCAAAAGGGACTCTCATATTCGGGAGAGGGTTAATTTCCATCTTTATCCTTGTATCTTTATATGCACGTGAAGCGCCGAAAGCCATAAAGGGTTAATTTTAATGCTGCACGGCTTTCATGAGTTCCTTCTACTTCTTCTTCATCTTCTTCTTATTTTTTTCTTTGTCCTTCTTTCTTAATTTCTCTTTTTATATTATCGTTTCTCTTTCATTCTCTCACCTGAATCGATTGTGCTTTTCGTTCTTCTATAAGTGCATATATGTATAAGATAGATATAGAGTCTTAATGAAATGCGATAAGAATTTATCTAAGCTAAACCAATTCCCTTTTGAAATTATATGCGTAGTGTATATATATATTTTTTTTTTTTTGGTTTCGTCTCTCGTGTAATCTCGTTTCACTATATAACGTCTCTTCGAGACAAAAAAAAAATCGGAGAGAGTGAAAAAAAGCTTGCTCGAGTCTTATATGTAAGATTTTTCTCAGAAGAGAGGATACGACCTTATCCTCAACCACTGATGGAAATATGGTGTGTGGAGGCATATTTAACCGTAAAATATGGATGGTCCTATCACATTTATCCTTGTGAAGAAATGAGTTAGCCCTGAAATTATAGTCAGTTTAAAACGATATTGTTCTCTCGCATATACTCGTTTTTGGCTCGTATATTTTCTTTTCCTACTTTTGCATTTCTAATTATTATATTTAGATTTTGCCCATTTGCATGTTAAACACTTGTTGATTTTATCGTTTCTATAAATTTTCTTCTCTTGACAAGCAAAAATATATTAAATGCTTTTAAGTATTTAAAAAAAAATTATGTTACATATTTAATTGGTAAAACTGCTATTTTTTTATAATTTGTGTTAAAAAAATTGAAACAATGTTATTACAAAATTAGTTAATAACAAATTATACAATTATTTCCCTTTAAAAAAGGGAACAATGTCAAAATTATTTTTATGTAAATTTTAAATTGGTCCAAAATGAAATAAAATAACATTAATTCAGTAATGAGAAGATAAAAAATATTCTAGCCGCACAATATCATAATATCAATATTTTAGTACCGAGAATAACAGTTGCAAATAAAATTTCTCAAAGAGATAGAATTTTTTTGCTTGTTTATCTCGTTTGCAGAAATAATGTTTAATAAGTTCATCGCACCCTCGTATAATAAAAAAGTATGTTTCTAAGAAATAATTTATGATTACTAAAAGAGGAGAAGAGCGTGTGTTGTTACAACAATGAATGATAATGCAAAAACGTGTTTTTTTTCCTTAAATAAAACTATCATATATGGTGTGTATATATATATACATTATGTCAATCTAATTTTCCAAACCCGCATTATATATATATATATACACATACAAACTCTGATTTAATCGTAAATAATTATTTTAAAAAAATATTCTTTTTATATATTACTCACACCTAATGAATTATTTTATTTTATTTTTTAATATCAAATTAACATTTTTTATTCTTTTGTTCTTTGTAATTATTATTCACTTTTGATTTTTTTGTTTACGGATTACTATTTTACAATTATAATATTTTTTTATTCTTTCAATAGTTTTCCTATATTTTTTTCATTTAAACAATACTTAAATTCAGTATTAAAAGGTAGGTCCTAATTTTTAATTTTACACAAATCTATTAATCTTTTTTTTTTTTTAAATTTAATTGTTATATCTTTAAAAAAAAAAATTTAATATCCTTTATAATAAATATATTTGAATGATAAAGCCATGAAATTCTGTGATTTTATCTTGTTTGTATAATTACAATAATTGTCTATAGAAAATAATAGTCTGTAACGCAGTAACTGTTAAGTAACATCTGAACAATAATTAAATATTACGTAAAAACTTGTTGACTTTTTTTTTGAAATTTTATGTTTACAATCGATATTGGAAATTTTTTCAAGTTGAAAAATAATTCTTTTCATTGTTCTAAAGACAAATTCACTGAGAAAAATGTTTAGTCAGAGCAACTAAAATTTGGTTGGTCTAACAAAAAAATTTTGTTTGTATTTAAGCAACCAAACTATTTTTGGTTAGGACAACAAACGATCATTTGGTTTTTCAGACCAAACTATTTTGTTGTGTTCACCAAATTATTTTGTTGTCGAAACCAAATAATTTGGTTGGCCTATAACCAAATGTTTGGTTGAGATAACTCTACGACTTTGTTTCAGCCAACCAAAATTTGGCTACAAGAACCAAAATTGACTAACCAAACAATTTTGTTGCAAACACTAAATTTTTTTTCTCAGTGTATCCTATATAATTTAAATAAATAAAAATTAAGAAAAATTAATAAAAATAAATAACAAGTTGAAAATTAGGTTCATTTTATGAATATTTGCTTTCTTATAAATTTTGTCAACTTGTTTTGAATTCAAATGAATTGAATTTGAGTTCAACTTCAACGAATCCTGTGTATTATATAAACTTTATATTATGCCAATCGCTTTTTTCTTTAATGAACAATAATTATTTAAACTTAAAAGAAGATTTTGAAATAATCCATAATTTTAATTTTTTTTTAAAATAAAAATATCAACTACTTTTTTTAAGTATTAGTAAAATATTGTATATTTAATTTATAGATTTTAATACAATCCATTTTTAAAAAATCGAAAATCGTCACGAATACAAAGCTTCCTCGGTAGGTGAAGAAGCAAAAATGTATAAAAATGAATAAAATTAAATAAAAGTAAAAAAAAATACATTGAAGTATGTATATATATTTGATTTTTTATCGTGTCGGAATTACAACTGATATTCATATAGGGTCATTTTCCGAACCCGCATATAATCATACAATTTGGAAATTGGTCTTTGTGTATTACTAGGTCGCGTGTTGCTGAAATACGGGCGCATTAATTGTCATAAATTGACTGAAACGCGGTCGATAATAATAATATATTATATAGTCGACATTCATAAATGAATACTCCGCAACAGAAGTGACTATCTCTTTAATTCAACAATAATGTTCATTCTTTTCATCTTTATTCCGTGACATAATTTATCATTGCAACATATATTGTATATATATATGCTACTAAATAGATATTATTGTGCCTTTTTTCCTGCTAATTATTTTTAAAAATGTCAAACATTATTTTGAAAAAAATAAATATTCCCTAAAAATTAATAATACAATTTTTGTATAAAACCTCTTGATTAATTGGTGATTTAAAAGGCTTTTCGGTCATGTTAAGTATTAAATTTTTATTATTTTCAAAAATATAAAAATTATAAAAATGTCGATTATTTTTGAAAATAATAAAAAAATTTTTGAAAATAATAAAAATTTAATACTTAACATGACCGAAAAGCCTTTTAAATCACCAAAATATACTTAACGGTCACTAACTTCAAATAAACTCTTGATTAATTATTATTATTATTATTTAATTATATTTTTATTTTAATCAATTAATTATATTATTAATTAATTATAATTTAATTACTCATTATACAAAAAAAAGTGTATTATATTTTTCTGTAATTGTAAATATTTCAATTGTTTACTAATTTGTAATTATATATTTTTACAGGAAATTGTACGGGGATTAATATTCAAAAACATAAATGAACTACTTTTGACGGTGAGTAATTTTGTAATTTTATTTTATAAATTAGATTAGACTAATAGGATATCAAATTTTTTCCCTACTCGTATTTTATGAAAGTAATAGGACAATTAGAATATGGTTAACAAAATGATTATCCGAATATTCATTCGACAAAATTTTTATTTATAGTTTTAGTTTAGTTTTTTGAAACGTCAAAATTTTAATAAAACTGACCTGCTTGTTCGAAAAATCGAAATAAGTGTCATTTTTTCAAATTATTGAATTATTACTCGGACGTTAAAGATTACGATTTTTATTATATCAAATAAATCCTTGGTTGTCGACGAGATTTCCACTGTTTGGATCAAAAGTGTGTTGAAAAAAATTTTAACAGAATTTCATGAAACTTGGTATATTAAAGGTTTTTAGGGTTGCTGATCACGAATCTGACATCAGTTTTTCAAAATTCAAAATGGCGGATCCAATATGGTGGATTGAAATTTTAAAAAATGTGCGGATTCAATTATTGTCATATTGAATCCGTCATTTTGAATTTTGAAAAACTGATGTCAGATTTGAAATCAGCGACCCCGAAAATCCCCGAGTATAACCAGTTTGAGGAATATTTAAGATTTTTTTAATCACTTTTTATAAATTGCGCTGTATATGCGTCAGCGAAAGGCAACGGATTAAATAATTATTATATTTGAGTCAATTAAATAGTATTTGTTTCAAATATAGGTACCCAGATAACCAGCGTACTAGTACGATGCAAGTACAATACGAGTACGGCGTACTAAGCGTACTAGTACTGTACCCGCCATCTACCTCCGTAGGGTACCAGGTACTGTACTGGTACGTCGTATTATTACGCTGTACTGGTACAATACTAGTACGATAAAAGTATGGCGTACTGAAAGTCTTTTGTGAATTAGTATAACGTACCGTTATTGTACTGGTACAATACTGGTATGCTGTATAAAGTAAAAATTCTATACCCCCTCCCTCTCTCCTTCTACAATAGTATTTTAATTATTTTAATTTATTATTAAAAAGGAAAATCTTTGGGAGGACTGAAATAATAATAATTCATTTTTATTTATTTTTATTCAATAATTTTTTTTATTTATATCATATATGTCTTTGCATATATTATATAAAATATGTAACTTGTATTCTCACTTATCTTAGAATATCTCATGTTTTATATTATTCTAATTAATTAACTTTATTAAGTATTAATTGACTGCTTGCTTGTATTTAAACATTATTTCAAAAGAATTTTAAACTTGATGTTTCAAATTGTTTTGATGTTGGGTGAAACATCTTATCACATCCTAACCTATAAATATGTTATATATGTATAAGAAAAACTATAGCGAAGTAACACAATTCAATTTATATTAATATCATCAAGATTAAGTTTACGAATTTTTTTCAATATAAATTTATAAAAAAGTTTATAAAAGAAAAGATTTAGATTTTTTTCAATGAAAGAACACTGTGGCACAAAGCGTCATGTCAAAGCAAAACAACATAAATCTTATAAAAATCGATAATTTAATATAAATTTAATCACGGATATTCAAGATAAGTACAGAAGCACAAGTTACAAACGTTAAAACTTTTTTGCTGCATCATAAACCACTTTTTTCACCAACATTTATTGCACCGTTTTCAGTGACGCGTTCATAGTTGACAACTGTTAAGAAAGTGAGGTTAGGTTGGCATTACCAGCAAAGAGTCACAGTACGACGTACCAGCATTATACTTGTATCGTACGAGTATGTTGTGCTTCTTATTTCAGAAGTACGACGTACTGGCATTGTACTAGTACTATACTTTTATCGAGTACTCACATTTTATAATTCTAACAGTACGACATACTTTTATTATACTAGTACTGCACTGGTACGTACATACATAATTATTTTGTACTGGTATGAAACTAGTATAATACCAGTACTCCGTACTCGTAAATAACGTTTAGTACGCTTGGCTATCTGGGTACATAAAATTTTATTTATTATTTTTATCTATAATTTTATAAACAAATATTTGAATAAAATAAATTTTTTTCTATGAACGTCAATATTTAATTTTTCAACTAAATTCTTCTAAATCGTTTCAATATATAGAAATGCAGTTCAATTATATATTGACAATTTTCTTTATGTTTCGTATCTGAAGCCTGTCGCCTGTAAAAATCGATCTGCGAATGAAAAAAAAAAAAAAAAAAACAGGGAGAAAAATAGAATGATGAAAATAATACAAATGATTTTAGATTGAGAGACCCGTTTTTATCGATGCGCACGACCGATCGAGTTCGACCTTTAAAGTGATCGGTCATGTCATTTGTGCAATGTTTGTGAAAAGTATTATCATCAACAACACGGAAGTAACATCCTGTGTGTCGCGTTGCAATGTTTCCTTCCGGCATCATTCTCGTTATATATTTATATACACCCAGAGAAATATTTTATTTGAACCAAATATAATATATTTGAATTAAATAAACGTATATTTTTCTCACAGCCTACTATCGCCCATTTATTTGGCGTAAATAAATTTTTTTATTTAAATCAAATAAAAATTTATTTGAATCAAATAAATATTTATTAGGCTCTGAGACAAATATATCATTTCTCTGGGTGTATTTCTTGGAATAAAAAGAAATGCAATTGTTTATTATTGACTGTAAAAATTTGCAAAGAAAATATTTTCCCTTTCGTGTGTCATTGACATCGACTTTTCTCGTCGTTTGCCTCTTTTGTTATGAAGATTTGTTTTTTTTTTTACAAAATAATGTTGCATAAATGTCATCGTTAACCGTGAAACTAACTCACGTGTCTTGTTCGCTTCAGTGCGATTGGATACTTATTTTATGAAGTGGATTTTACGACAAACAAGGTTGCGCTATATTGCATATTTTTCACATGAGTTTCAAATTGAAAGAGATATTTTCAGTTTTTATATTCCATCTCCTTGAAAGGAAAATTCTTTTAATGCAAAGAATTATATATACGCTTGTTATAAAGTTGTTGTTGTTGTTATTTGCGCGAGTTTATTAACATAAAAAAAATAATAATAAATATTAAATTATAATAATTACTTTATCACAATTTTCATGGAAAAATAAAAGTTGGAATATAAAATTTTCAAATGATTAAATAAATTTGTTTTTTCTTAGTAATTTTACTGTGCCTTTTAAAAACCATATATTTTTAGATTGGTAATAAAATTCTTGGTCTCTGCATTTTGCAGACTGTATTCGAATTCGAAACGAGTATTCGTGCAGCAATGCATTTTGTTTAAGAATTCCGCTCATCTTTTATGTGCGATTTGGATTTCCTTCGTCGTGTGTTTAGTTTGTCCTCGAGTCTTTTTAAATTTAAAATAAAGTCCTCTTATTGTAAAGTGCCTGGTGAATTTTAGGGGAATTTGCAACAACAAAAAACTATTATACTTTTTTTTATTTTAATATTTAAGAGAAAAAAAAAATAATTACAAGAAAAATGCCATTTTTTTACCCTTTGATGAATTTACGTGAAATACCCCATGAACGAAATCATTTTTTTTTTTTTAATTTGCATTTATTTGCCTCAAATAAAAATATATTTGTCTCAGAGCCTAATAACTTTCTATTTGTTTCAAAAAAAAAAAAAATTTATTTATACCACGAATAAATTTTTACTTAACGCAAATAAATTCTATATTTAAACAAAATAAAATTTAATTCACTCTGAGACAAATATTATATCTTTTCTCTGTGAGTGTATTACACTGAAAAATAAATTTATTTGATTCAAATACTCGATTACTTGACTATTATCAAATAAATATTTACTTGAACCAAATAATTTTTATTTGAATTAAATAAATTTTATTTGAACCAATAATTTTTGTATTTTAAATAAATAAATATTCAAATAATATTTATTTGATACAAATATTATAATTATTTGATAATAGTCAAGTAATTGAGTATTTAAATCAAATAAATTATTTTTCAGTGTAAACTTTTAATAAATTATTTGTTTCTTTAGATATTGAAAGAAATATTTTATAAAATAAATTAATTTTATAATAAAAATGCCTTGTACGGTTTTATTTTAACAAATATAGCAAATATTTTATAATAAAATTTGAAGTTAAAATAGTAGTGAACAAATTTTTTGTTCATTTGAACGTTCTAAATTTTAGGCACATATATTATTTCACTCGTAAGTTAAAAATATTTCATTTGTTTAGTCACACCGAAAAAAATAAAATCTTAAAATGAGAAGAAAATTCCTCTCAACATTTACTTTTACATTTTATTTTCAATATGTGAATATTCATCTAAAAAATAGAGGATTCTTTTTTTTAATTAAGAACATTTTGGTTAGATGATTACTTTTAATCTTTCTTTTTCGATTGAAAGTATTCTTTTTCAGTTGAGATTTTTTTTCTATAATTGAGATTATTCCTCTAGAAATATAGTTTTTTGTTTTTTTACGCACACCTTCAAACTGTTCGAAAACTGACAGTTAAAAAATAAATAATGGACATCCCACTAAGAAACCTTCTATGTAAAGTGGGACTAACAAATTACATGTGTAATTTTGAAAATAATATTAATTACTTATAATCAATAATGTTATTATAATAAATTACGAAGCTGAAGTACGCAACGTTTATGATAAACGATTTTTTAAGAAATAATTTTTTAAAATAAAAATTCTATAATTTTTTGCCTAAAAAATATTTTTTTTACAATTTGCTGATTAATGAAAAACTACAAGAAATATTTTTTAGGCAAAAAATTACAGAATTTTTCATCTTAAAAAATTTTTTCTTCAAAAATCGTTTATCATAAACGTTGCGTACTATAGCTTCGTAATAAACTAATGTCAATGTGTTTAACCCCTATTCTTTCTATGATTAGAATTTTGTAATATTCCAGTTAGAATTAATTTTTTTTCAGCATCATAATCTATAAATATTATTTTAAAAATATATTCATTTTTATATAAATAAAAATAAGAATGAATTTTTCTCTTCCATATTTTTATTTGTAGGAATGTTTATAAATGAATTTTTCGATTTTTTGGAAGGA